TGGAAGCAGTGGATAAAGAGGAAGAGAGATGAAGAGAGACAGAGAGAGGGAAAGATAGAGATAGAGAGAAAAACTGACAGAGAGAGAGGCACAGATAGAGAGGGATAGAGAGAGAGAGACAAGAGAGAGAGAGAGAGAGAGAGAGAGAGAGAGAGAGAGAGAGAGAAAGAGAGAGAGGAGAGGGGGACAGAGGAGAGAGGGGAGAGGGTATTAAAAGAAGCCTTTAACCAAAGTAATGTCATAAGCTGCGAGAAGGAAACGACCGACAGGCGTCGTCGGGTATCTCTTCTTCTATCTATTATTTCTCTTGATCAAAAAGGCTGGAATTTCTACCACCTTAATAAGCGTGACCTTGTTCATTTCCATAGACTTGCATGCAGTCTCAGACCGCGTACCGTTATGGCTCCCATTCCTTTTTTTTCCTTCCTTTTTTTTCTTCCTTCTTTTTCTCCCGCTTCTTTCTGAACAAACGAATGTCAGTATCCCATTTCTCGGTTACGTTAAACTATGTATACTATGCCCTAAAGGAAAGTCTTCGCTGTTGACTTGTAGCCGTACTTTCGCTCCCTCCCCCTACATCCTTCTCTATCTCTCTTTCTCTCCATCCCCCTCTCTCACTCTCTCTCTTTCTCTCTACTTTTCTCTTTCTCTCTCACTCTCTTTCTTTCTTTCTATTTCTCTCTCTTTCTCCACCCCCAACACACACACACACAAACACACGCACACACACACAAACTCTCTATCTCTGTTTCTCTTTCTCTGTCTTCGTCTCTCTCTCTCTCTCTGTTTCTCTCCCCCCCTCTCTCTCTCTCTCTGTGTGTGTGTGTGTGTGTGTGTGTGTGTGTGTGTGTGTGTGTGTGTGTGTGCTTCATCGAAATAGCCATTGGTATGATCATTATGATAACACATTTTCAAAAGGTGAAATCAAAATTTGTTAACTTAATCCACTTTTAATTTAAAAGTGAAGACACCAGATGTTCAATACCAAGTCAGTTAATCACTCTCCAAACCATCTTCAATACATTAGTTGTCGGTTTAAACATGTACTTGACTTGACATCATTGAATAGAGCATCTGTTACTGATGAAACGTCAAATCAGTATTCAATATAAACCAAGCATGCTTGACAACCTAATGGGCCAAGTTTTCTTCCACTTTATAAACATCGATCTGCACAGATTTTTAGTTCAGAAAGTAAATTAAAAAGGCTCTGAGTTTTAAGAAAAAAGGCTTAGATATGACTCAGTGGCTCGATTCCGAAACTTTAAGTTAAAAAAAAACGTGTCGGCTGTGATTAGTGAGAGAGGTGAGAAGAGAAGGGGGAAAAGAGGATGATAGGGAGTTGGAGAGAG